TTATATTACACTTTTTTCAATTCTAATTGCATACAATCTCAATTGAGAATTTTAACAATAAATACGGCAAGAATTCTCATTATTTCACCACAGAAAATAAAAAGAACCATGGTAGAGAGAAAAGAAGAGGAAAAAGTATAGAAAAATAAAAGATCTTTTACGTGCAAGATTTTATTCTTTTCAACTTTTCAAAATCAAGGTCAGATACTTTTGTGCAAGTGGTTCGTTTCCTTATACTTTTATATTCAATAATTTATGCATGAATTTCCAATAGACCTTCGGGTTTTATCCAATGTTGAATCGACCTTGATTTTGAAGTTCTTTATTAAGAAATATGAGATCCTACGGGAATTTAAGATGACCTAAGATGGGTATGTCGCTTGGTCACCGATATACTCCATAAGAAAAGAGTGGTATGAAGTGTTTATTTTATTGTTATATAATTGTGTATGAAAAGTGCACGTATCTTATTGGGTGTTTTTAAATACTCATTCTTACAAAATTTTACAGGTTAGTTCGGGTCGATTGGAACTGTGGTGAGATGGTGATACGGACTGCCAAGAGAAATTGAAGAAATATAAACAGTAAGTTTTTTTTCCTTTAATTTATTAGTTAGTTTTATTCGTTCAAAGACGTGTTATTTAATTAGTGATTATATTATAAAATTTTCATGTTTAATTTAAATTTAAGGATATTCTAGTTTTTTTTTAATTAAAGACTATTATTTTATCGTTTATTCTTTGATACAAAGAAAATTGAATTTTGGTAACACTTCAAGGTTTATGAAAATTTTGGGTGTGACGGTTACTGAATTTGAAATTTGCTACTATGGGGTCATCAAAATTCTAAGTTTGTGATGGTTTGATTATTCAGTCCATATCTATTAGTTTGACTAATGAAAAAAACTAATGTGGCAGTCTAGTTGGTAAATAACTGGACTTCTACATCACCATTCACTAGTGATATTCAACTACCTCATCTAGAAGCTTAAGTTGCTAAAGACGGGAACACATTTATTAATTTAAATTTTTTTCTTCAAAACACCCCCTCATTGCCCTTTAGATTTTTTAACAAAGGTGTGTCGAACGCGTGCACAATTTTCATACAAGGTGGCAAGATTTGAACTCAAAGAGTATTGCATGCTCTAATACCAAGCGTAAGAAATTCATAAGAAAGCATAAGTTGTTCGAAAGGGGATGTGTTCAACAATTTATATTTTGTAATCAACAAGTCAAACTAGCTGATACATGGAGTGGTAATAAAGTTTTAATTTAGTCATCAACTAAAAACAAAATGAGTGTCGAGGATTAATATGAAATTTTGTTTAAAACTTGGTTTATTTAACCCTTTCATTTAATGAATTTAAAACAAGTGATGAAGCATTTCACTAGAAAATAAAATGGATAAATCCACAATATCGTTGCTCCAAAGAATGTACATTACCTAATACTTCTTGTGCTGTAAGCCGCTGCTTGGGGTCAGGGTTGAGCATCTTCTTTACAAGGTCCTTTGCATTAGCAGAAACCTTAGGCC